CGGGAGGTGACAATTCTACACTTTTGGGTAGCAAAGACATAATGGCTTGTAGGATATCAAGAATAGCCACGGATCTTTGAAAAGGTATTTAAGCTGTAACATTAGCGTTCCCGAGGGAAAAGAGCTACCGGCAAGCGGCTGCTGAAGCAGGCAGGCACCCAGCAAAGGCAGTTCAGCTGGTAAGGACCATCACGATGGACAGAAGACGGGTGAAATACTATAGGTGTATATACACTGTGGAAAGTTTCCTGTATTTGCATCAAACTTCAACCAAGGATCTATATCGCTTTGGTTTCTGCAACAGAAAGGCACCTGGATATGGAGAGTAAAGCAAAGCTTGCTTTCTTCCCTTTCTTTCAATCTCTAGATAGTCTCACATGGAGAGAATGTTTGCATATTGATTATACTTTTATTATCACACAAATCCATGTATTTCTGAGCTCTCCAGCCTTCCCAAGATGAATTTTCTATTCTTCCACATAATGGAAAGACTATGAAATAACATTCAGATGCCTGTTTAAAAAGAAATGGAATTTTTTCCAGCACGTTGGTGACTGAGTGATGTTCCCACGTGCTCTCCGAGCAGCGCCAGGCTCGCTCCCGGCACCCTGGGCCCTCTCGTGGCTCTGTGGGAGAGGACACAGAGCACTTCTCAGCAAGTTCTCACTTTCAGAGAACTCCAAGGCATGTTCTCCTCGGGCCCTCCAGATCGCAAATATTGTCATTGAAAACTGCTATGAACCACAACATTTAGTTTCAGATCCATATTTACTTAGGATTTAGGGGTATTTGGATTTTTTTTTTGCCTTCAAGCTAATCACCAATAAAATACTACTTTGATTCTAATTTTTTTTCCCTATCAGAACAGTTAAATATTTTAAAACTTGAGTCCCTAAGGATGGCATACGATTTGGTTTCTTTACAGATGCGGGGTCCTGCTGCCCTCCAAAGGGCCCCAGGGGCTTTGCAGACAGAAGTGCGTTCCCATGGCTAGCGGATGCGCCCTATGTAATCGCTTTGGTTTGCTTTTTGATACGTGGGACTAAAAGCAGATGAAGCACAAATCTTCTCAGGATAAAAATTGCTTGCAATTATTCTACATGGCAGTCAATTCATAGAGAGGTCAAAAAAAAAACAAACCAAAACCCAAATCCTAAGCCTATTTAAAAAAAAGAAATTACAGATAAACAGATGGGTTTAAGTGACAATACACCTGAAGAGGTTAAAAAAAAGAGAGAGACTGCCTAAAAAGATCATCAAGAGACCAAATTGTTTAGTCAAGGTTAATGAAAGTTAGGATATAGTGGCAAATGCATGAGGAAACAGATCAGATTAAGTGAGCAATTATGGAGATAAAGATTGTAAAACGTTGGTTATTTCAATCTTCTAAGAATCCCTTGGTTTTAGCACCGTCTTAAATTGTCTTTAAAATGCTTGTCATGCATTTTGCGTAAGGAATGTTTCAATCAGGCTTTGAATGGAATGGCTTGAAAGCAAAGGACAAGAACATTCACCTGGAGCTGACACTTGGTTTATGATCAGGGCACTGCATTACAGCTGTGTTTGTTAGGAAAAGGAAATTGTTAAGCTGATGCTTCGGGGTAGAGCAAGAAAGAGCTGCATTTCCCCACAAAAACTGTACTACTCCTGGAGCATTTCCAGAAATCTAAAGAGAGCAGGCTACCTTTCACTAACAGCCACTATTATTTTATTATCATCAAACCATTATTGTTCATACCAGCTAAATTTTGATGGGAAATGATTTCTTGTTAATTATGTAAGACATACAGTTTAAAGATTTTTCATTGTAAGCAGTAAACCCCAGTATTTTCTGACCCTGACAACATGCTCTAGAACAGCGTAATTACCACTCGGAGACATTACAGGTAAATGAGCCACTTACATTTAAACTTGATTGAAATGGATTCTTGCCCTTTTTTCTGCTTATTCTCCTCTATTAGAAATGCTTTAGTCAAATGGTTGTGTATTATTTTAGCGCATCATACAAGCTGATTCAATTAAGATACCGCGGCATCTCAGATTTCATTTTTATAATCTATTATGCATTAATAGAAGGTCTGTTTATGACCTTGGCTTCCAAATTGCAATACAAGAAAAGGAAGTGTCCAGCAGTAAAGAAACACATCCCCCACCGCACACTAACTCCTGTGTGACTCCAGCCCAAACCAGGACAAATAACCATTGAGCTTATGACTGAAACTTGTATGTTAAGAAAAAAACAACGAAAAAAACCCCCCAGCACCTTACTGCTGGGGACGATGAAGCGGCTGCACTAGCGTGCTCAGTGCCAGCAGAACGCAAACCTGTCTGGAGGAGCTCAGACGCAGGCTTTGGGTTGGGCTCTTTCCACTCTCAGATGCTAATCCTGGGACCAGCCCGATCCTCAGTAGCAGGCACTACTGGTGAAGGAAAAGGGTTAAACTCTTTAATAGAGCGTTTTCTATCAAATGCTGTTGGAAGGAGCCTGATTTTTATTTTGAAGTGCAAAAAAGTCCATCCGTTGCGTACAAATATCATCGACAACAACATACTGGGAGCAGCCAGCTCTGGACACGGTAACGGCAGGATCAGGAAATGCCCAAAGGCACGCTTCTTTTGCTCTAAGAAACCGTCTCGGAGCCAGTTCCTCTAGTGTGCAATTCCAGCGTGCTTAAGGCAACGCTGGGGTAAGCAAACAACTTCCAAATCTGATTTAACAATTAAGAAAGAAAAAGGAAGATCTGCTTAAACCCTTCAGAGGAAATAGCTACTTCAATGCAGATGGATGCTCACCTGCTTTCCTGCACTGAAGGTGGTATCTCCAGCTTAATTTCCAGCTGGCCGTAGAGGCCATTTCAGTCGAAGCAGCAATTTCTTTACTTTCTGGAAGTTATTTGATGAAGCAAGACTGAGTTCAATACACGCATTTAAGCCTTCCCTTCCCCGTCACCATGAAATATGCTAAGAAAGGGGAGCTAGTTCATCTCAGCACAGTTATAGAAGAGATTCTATGAATAAAGGAGCTTTTCGTTAAATATTAAAAATAAAATTACATACTGCTTTCCGCTCTACTTAAAATTTTAGTGAGGATAAACCCCGAGGTGCCCAAAACCATTACATAGAAGTCCTGCCTTTCCATTACCTTTTCTTCTTAGACTTACGCCAGCTGGAAAAAGTTCTGGATACTTCAGTTTTTCTTTGTCAGATCTCTCTATAGGATTTATTCTGCAGTAATATTTCAAAATTAACTGTAGAAAAAACAAAATAGCCTAGGTGACCCTTCTGCGGTCTTATGTTCTTGAATTCCCCATATATTAATCTTGCAAGTACAATTTATGATGAGTCATTAAGATATTTTCCATTACAGACATTTAAATATTTAAACATCCAGAGGTTGGCTGGTATAAGATTTGAGTGCTTAAATTATCTCCTTCCGCTCACTCCGCTTACCCTGCATAGCAGACTGGTGCCTGCAAATACTTTTTTCACCTTTCCTAAAGGAACATTTCCATTTGAGCTGAAGAGGGTACTAGAGAATGCAACTTCCGCTGCGCTGCACTGTGATCTGTTAAAATCGCAAACTTATCTATAATGTATTTCGATCTATGTGTATGTCAGACTGGTGGTGGTTTGAGAAGAGAGAACTGGGAGGTTCTGGCAGTGCTTGCAGCGGAATCACAGAATAGTTGAGGTTGGAATTTCTTGGTACCTGAAAAATTTTACCTGAAGGCCTAACGCGGTCAGAGAAGAACACCCACGTCAGGACCAGCTGCAGCAGCAGCCAAAGCAAAGACGTAAAAGACAGCTCATTTCCCTGAATACAACTGCAGGATTCCCAATAAAAAAAATTTACAACAGGAACTGTGGCTGCTAAGAGAATGAAGCAGATATACTGAAAACCAGGGACAAGTTGTTCTTTCTTTTTGTCTAGACAAGGACAATGCTTAAACCTCCAAATTGTCCATCTCAGCGTTGCTTCTGCAGAAAGGGGAACGGCTGGAAAGGAACACAGGCTGAACCTACAGGCATACTTTTGCAATTCTCAAGAAATTTACCTGCTTTTATTTTTTTTAGAGCCCACAAACAGGGTAACTTGCTAAGCTGATACATCGAATACAAAACCCATCTGTTCTTCCTTCTGTTTCAGAGAAGTGAAGCTCCGTTGCAAAAGAGAGGACTTACCTGGAATAACAATGTGCTCTTTAAACAAAATGTGTTCTTTTATACCAGGCTAAATCAGGTCAGTTAAAAAGGCAAAAATTATTATTTTTTTTTTATCTGCAAGAAAACGTTTATTCTTTGTAAACCCCACAGAAAAAAAGAATGCAGCCAAGACCGAGTATTGAAAGAAAATTGTGCCAAAGTAGGCAGCAAAATGGGGGAACCTCAACACAAAAAGTCAGTGACAATATTTCATGTTTTGCACAAAGATGGAAAACCTATGACATTTCTGAGTAACACTTTTATGGTGACAATTACACAAGATGATTCAAAAATGCATATGACAGCAACATGCACACCTGGCTAAAGCTAGAAGTTTTATCCCAAAAGAATATCTGTGATTAAAATGATGGAACTTTAATACTTCTATTGACTTGCGTGTCCTACTTTTTTTTTTTTTTAGTGAAGCATACATGCCAATTAACATGGAACTTTTTTAAAAAAATCCTTTTTCTTTTAAGAACTTTGTCCTTCCAGAGTCCACTGCATGTTTGCAAAATCATAATGTTGGGTTTGTAATTATGCTAGTTTCCAATACAGTTTTGCTTCCCACCCCTCCAATCCCCACCCTCAAAAAAATCTGAAACACTTCAGAAGTTGCCAGTGCAAACACTTTCTATCAATGTATAATATACATTTTAACTTAAGCCTTTGTGCAATTTATGAGTTTCCTTTAAAACTCCTTAAAAACTCCTTGGCACAGCAGCTGAAACATATTCAGCTCCATTTAAACTGTCAAACACAAGGTGATATAAAGTGTAAATCACAGTTGAATAAAATAAAAAAAACCCCAGAACTGCAGCTTTTATTAGCCAGCTTTACAGTCTCTTGTATACAGTACATTGCACAGTTCCGCCTTCACAATAACGCTTCCTGTATTAATATTGTGCCTTCCACGATGCAGTATAATCAAGGCAAGTTACAGAACACTGCTGAGTTTATATTAAAATAAACAGAAGATGTAACCTTGGTTTATAATGAACATCCAAATTACCATGTACAATTTGCAGTAGACTCTGTAATGAGCTTGATATATAAGCTAGATGACAGTGAAGGGGGAAAAAATAGTTTAAACTATCAAGTTTCCTCTTGAAATGTCTTTTCCCAAGGCACTGTGAACAAGACTGTTAGCAATTCTCAATGACTAAAAACACCGATGGGAATATAAATATTTCACACAACAACCACCGTCACATCATCATCTATTCTCTTATTCTTTCCCTTAAACAACGCCCCTGAAATTTGTTTGGTCCTTTGAGGGGTAATCAAATTATCTTCTCCAACTTCACATATTTGTATTTAATACATCTATAAATCAAAGCTTTGTTAGATTATTTAACCCTTTCGCCGTAAAAACTAAAGGTTTTTCCTCACTATTTCTGAATGAATCTGCAAATTCAATTTGATTATTAAAAAAAAAAGAAGAAAGGGTTCAAAATCAAGCAAAGCCCTGTATTTTTCAAGAGGAAACCATGCAAGAGTACATAAAAAGGCAAAATTGGCTACTTGAAAACCAAGAATTGTTTTTAATGCATTGGCCAAGGAAAATAAATTGCAAAGTTCTGTGAGGTTTTCTAAAAATTTACAAGAAAAACCGATGGGCAGTTCTAGTCAATCCAGATGTTCTTTTATCCTGTTTTAAATGACAACAAATACAGTCTCACACAATACAATTTCATCTTGACTGCAAGAGACACTCCTGTGTGATGCCTTCGGCATGACAAAATTACTGGGCAAAAAGAAAATTGGCATTCATTTCTTCAAGGGCTGATAAACGGAGGCATTGGGATCAAGTCCAGAAGGGCTGGTCTCCACAAATTTGGAAGAGTAATGTGGGGAAACAGGACTCAGAGTGCTGGTGGCTGCAGTGTATGTTATGCTGGGCATTACTGCCATAACTTCTGCAATCTTCTGTTTTAGGTCCTTGATTTCCTGATCTTTCTGAATGATCTGCCCTGAAAACAGCAAATAACAGCACTTAGAACCAGCAGCGTGTTTTCACCAACTGTTCAATGATAAGAGCTGTTGAAGCGAAACACCCGGAAGACATTCAGCGCTCTGACATGACCTCAGTAACTCCTGGTTTGTGTTGAGGAGCTATGTCTAATTACCTCTGGTTACCAGGTAACACAACGAGACGCAGCGCTTCCAGTAGATTTTGCATTGTTTGGATTCACAGCCGCACCACACCAAAAGATTATTTCCACGGCTCCACTTTTTTCTGCCCTTTTCCATTCACATTTTACAAGCACCTCACAGGAGCACAAGTGTTTGCTTATTAAATGTGTTATTTACTTTATTTTCAAAACTGTCCTATTCTCACCATTCTCCTAAACCCCCTTTGCGCACACTCGCAACATCGCTACAGCAATTTATGAAACTAAGAGGAACACCACTGAAACGAAACAAAAAAAAAAAAATCTCACTCTAATCAAATTTTCCTGCAACCAAGCAAACTTCCGCAAGAAAGTCTAACAGGTACTAAATCAAAAGGTTATTTAATTTTGCTTCAGGGTTTGCACAGCTGAACAAAGGATGGTCTGGGCAGGGGTTTATGCTGGCTTCCTGCTCCCTCTGGTGGCTGCGACACCAGCCCAGCACGGACACCGCTGCCCACGCTTACCCCACCAGCGTGGAGGTTAAAACAAGTTGGGTTATTTTTTTTCCCCCCACATTGAGGTTGTATTTACTTCAGGAATATCAAAATATTATTAGGATTCAAGGACAGTGGCTTAACAGATGGCCATTGCTATTTTATCTCCTAGCTCTTTAAAAAAAGTTCTCCAGCTTTAGGGCAATGGCTTATAAAAACATAGAAAATCATCATAAATTAACTTAAATGCCCATCTTGACATTTATTGTCTTCAGCTGACCTAATCTCCCCAAGCTATTAAACTGATCAGCTGGATTGCTTAGGCTCACATTCACAGAGCTGTAAAAGACAAAAACCCACTGAAAGCTGAAATGCTGCGTGGGGACTGTAGCCCACCCCTAAATAAAAAGCTAGGATATTCCTTCTGTCACATTTTCACTATTTCAGTCGGTACTACGTGTTGAATTAAACTATCCCATATTACCTTGGGCAATCTCAAGCTGCCGTTTTGCATCTCCTAATGCAGAGAACAGATCCAGCTTGATTCTTGTCTCTGCACTCAGGCTGTTCTCTAAGTGCTGTGTTTTATCCTGCATGGCTGAAAGTGCTGACATTAACACCTCCGTATCCTTCTCATTTTCCTTGTACTTCCGCAGTTCCTGTAGGAGCAATTAGGACAAATGTTATTCTCATCGACTTTACACATGAGATACACTGAGAAGTCTTTCTCTTCCCCACAGCACACCACTGGGCCTGGTATTAATACTGTAAAATTAAAATGATGGTTAATTAAGGACACTGTAATATTACCTCCAGTAATTATACATGACCATCATACAAGTGATTAAAGCCATATTGTACAATGCATAATTACAGTGTGGTGAGCAAGTACCATTTACTCTGCTTCCCAGCCCTCTATCATCTGTACCGAGACCCTCCACCCAGAAACCCTCCTCAGCACTTCCAAGTGCCAGCTAAGCAGCTTCACGGTACTCTTAGCCAAGCCGTGGAATATGAAAACGCTTCCCACAAGCAAAATGGGGACTGATCTCTTGCTAGACAGTTTAAAGTGATACTGCATCAGCATTTTAAGCTATTTTAGTTGGCTGACGAGAGGGATTTCTTTATCTCAGAATACTTCCCACGTTGAACCTAGCTGTGCTGCAAACCCAGAAACTCAGAAAAGAGAAAAGGAGGGAGCAAGCATTCTGCACATAAGAGACAGGCACTTTGTGGCTGGGAAGTATGCATGAACATTTCGACTAAGAAAAAACCAAATACTATACACCAAAAATAGCTCTATACTTTTAAATGAAGAAACAATACAACGGGGGAAATATTAATGCCTGTAACAAAAAGGTTCTCTAACAGTTTGAAGATGGTAATAAAATTAAAAAGCTTGATCATAGCTGGTGTTAATTATTTGAAAACCATGCTCATATTCTCCATGGATAAACCACACTTGTTTTCAAGGGCTTGGTAAAACCAGGAACAACAAGGCTGCATATGTTATTTGGAAACAAGTTCACAATAACACCAGGTGGATTTTGAAGAGTGTCTAAAAAACCACAAGCCATTAAAAATACATATTCACGCAAATTGTCAGTTGACAGCCCGAGTACATCTTTAGGAATAGACATTTTAAAGGAATAAGGTCCACTTCAACTCACACGTTTGAGCTCTTAAACCCTAACATGCCAGACAACGTGTCTGCTACAAGTCTACCACAACATACTTTCAATATTCAAGCACTGTCACAAAAAAAAAAAAAAAAAAGCCTGGCCAGTAATTAAGACTGTACTGAGTAAGCAACCTTACTTGCTAGCAGTTTAATTTATAATGATACAGACTGGCAACAAGCTCCTCACATTAGACAAAAAATGTTGTTGAGGGGATTATATTCTCAGTCTACCCAGACCATTGGTTTGGGGCGAAAAAGATTCTGATAATTTAAACAATTGAGTGGTGTGGAGCTGAGACTATTAACCTTTTTCATACCCACGTTCTTACAAAGCCTGATGCAAGACAGGCAAGACAGACATGTGAAGAGCATAGTTCTTGAGGGTGTTGATTGCCTCTTATGTAGATCCACCAATTTCAGAGGGCTGAAAGCACTCATTGTGATGCTGATCTAAGCCCCTGGTGCTTTCTCATTACCTGAACTTTCATTTCTAGTTCTCGTATCTGATCTTCTTTCAGCTTTATGTCAATTGTTAGCTTCTTGCACTCTGTTTCCAACTCTCGGATACGATTTCGTAAAGTTTCAGTACATTCTCCTCTGCAGAAAAAACATTAGAAGAGCAGGTGGTGAAATAAGAATGAGGCTGTCAATCCTGAACTGTTTATAACATTAAAATTAATATAAGTACTGAAGGATAAAAAGAGGAAGGTAACTCTGTTCTTTTCAGCAAGAGAATTTCCCTTACGGCAACAATGCAAAAAGTTACCCAACGTTATGCCTCAAGTATTAGGAAATTTGGAATACGTATGAAATATGGAGAACAGAAAAGCCGAAATAATTCTTTTTAGACATTTGGAGCACTGCAGATTAAAGTCATCCACACTGGTGCCTTGCTTTCATCTTGAAAAACTTCCCATCTATACAACTATGTTACTACGGAAACACCACTGTGCTGAGCACTCGTAGTCACCAACTAGAGCAAAATACTTTCAAGATGCGAGATCAAGACAGTGTTTTGGCCAACGTCGTTGCATGAATCCTTGATTCACAGCCCCCACATGAAAGGGGATGTTCCTTTTTTTTTTTTTGAAGTAGACTGATCCACGCAGGGTACATCGTCTCTCTGTTAGCACAATCAAGGTACAGCAGATCATTTAGAGCATATTCATCCTTTACACCCTGTACATGTAATGTAGACGAGTACTGAGACTCAGCTTTGTGGAAGGAGAGCTCCCAGTCCTCCCACTGCCTTAACACAAATAAACCTCTTAGCATAAATAAAGGGTTTTTTTTAAAAATCAAGTACAGACTACTCCTGTATGTACACAAGAGTGAAAAATGCCTCCCCAAATCCCCCCCAACACACATTTCGGTAGCAACAGCTACATTTCCGTAATTTTCTGGAGCTGAGCTTGCTTCTGGGGCAGAACAAAGTACCTTGTAGCAGCAGCAAATGCGACAGCACGTGCAGCAGTTGCTTCTTCCAACTTCTTTCTTTTCTTTTCTTCCATTAATTGTTTTTCTACAAAGGCTCGTGCCTCCTGCTCTGCCTTTAGTTTCTTCTCCAACTGGCTGATCATTTGTTTGTCTTTTTGTTTCATTTGTACAGCATTGTGTAATCTGGAAGGTAACAGGTATTGGATTTAATGGAGGATTTTACTTACTAAAAATAAATTGCTGTCAATAGTCCCAAATGAGTCTTGCTGGATTTGCAGAGGAGCGCCTCAAATTTTGTAGACCCTTAACATAATACTTCCCCTTTACCAGACTACAGTCATCAGCAACTAATTTACACAGCTGTGTAGAAACACGTACTTGTTCTGAAGCAGTTCATTTTCTTGCCGGAGCTGTCCGATTTCAGATCGAATTCCCCGCTCTGTGTTAGTCAGAGAACTGATCTGACTACGTAGCTCCTGTTCGATCTGCCTGCTTGCTTGCAGGTCAGCCTTTAACTTTTTAATATCTTGTTCCAACCTAAGAAAGACAATTTTAAAAGACAATTTCAACTTTATTTCCCAGTTACCCAAAGGTTCAAGCACATTATATAAAGGTAAGCAATACCATCTGCCAACCCTCCCAAACCCTTGATTCTTAAAATAATAAACTCTCAGAAATCATGCCTATCTGCTAAATAGTAATAATGTTTTATATAACTATACATACATAGCTCTATGTATAGCTATACACACACTTCATAACCTCCCATGGGAATTTTGTTTTCCTTCAGGCACCACAGAGTTGTAAAACAAATCCTATGGAATTATATTTTTCCTCTTCAAGCAGGAGTGAAATGGGGAAGTCTGAGAGGTTGTAAACAAGGACAGGTGCACATATGATCAAATTTTACTTTTCTCAAGAAATTATGAGTTTCATTTGTTAGTTACAGCTGAGCTATGGAGCATACTGCTGAATTCTCACCTAAACGTTTTTTTGTTTTTTTTTTTTTTTTTTCCTTGAAGTACACGATGTGCATGTTGAATAAAGAGTACGTGTTAAGTCATCCAGAGTTCAGGAGTCAGTAAATTTAGTTTTAATTGCTCCTGAACAGAGACCATCTGCTATACACTTAACTGCAGCTTTAGAAAGTTCTTGAAGACTCATGCAAGCTTATTAATTAAAAGATTTTCAACCAAAATTGGTTAAATAAAACACAAATTTCTAAAGGGAGGCCCCCAGCTCACCTTTTTTTCCCCTCATTTTCAAAATAAGATTTTTGATTCTTAGAATAAAAGTCACAGGTGCATAATCAACCATGTTTATGAGCACTGCGTTACATACTTATTTAAAGCAAATATGCCTCAGTCATTCACACATACTACTCATTTGCTCCGTCAGTTATTGATTTAAAAGTTTTTAAATGTTGATGAAGAAGATAAAGATGTTTTTATTTTCTAAAGCTCCATACAGAATTAGGGGTAGTAGAACATTAAGACTTGGGGAAAATAGTCACAAAACCCAAAATGAACTGCCCTTATTGACATTCACTAGCGCAGATGAACTCTTACAGGTTTTTCTCCTCATAATGAACACACTTAGCTCTTTTGGGCTTCAGTGCAGGAAAATCTCAACCTAAAATGCTAGTGAGAGATGTAACGGTATAAGGCGTAAGGACATCCTGTGTGAATGAATCAAGAAGTTAAATGTGGAATCATCAAACTTACGGAAATTCATAAAAGTATGTCTGTAATAGGCTAAAACTGCACTGAAGAGGTATACTGTGCAAATTAACAGCAAGAAACAGCCTATAAAAGAGCACAGTCTATAATACACTCATAAGTCAAATGCTCAGATCCCACTTTCTACAGCTGTACTAAGCTGCCTTTCTAGTTATACTTGAACTGCCCTACTGGTAAGATGAATTCCTTTTAATATCGTATAAATTGTGGTCAAATGTGCCTTTAAAAAGAAAGAAAACCCAACTTATACTCAGTAGGCAAATAGTAATAGTACAAAGCAAATACACATTTCATATTGAAGACTACAAATCATTTCAACACCTCGTACTCTGTTGTAGGAGGAAAAGAATTTGCAAACCTAATATTCATTCAACCACGTAACCATAGCACACAAACCAAAAATGGAAACCCCATCAGCGGATGTTATTAGGTATGTATTTTCACCATGTTCTGCATGTTAAGTGATAGAGCTGGACAGTCGTTGGATGGTGATGTAACAGTTTAATTTAATCTTCCAATAACCAGTAACTAAGTGTTTTAGAAAGAGCAAACTCAATAACTGAAGAGAGTAAGATGCTGTAGGAAGCATTAACAGACTGTTGTCTGCCAACAGATTGGTTTTAATATGGCGTTTCATAAATAGGTGAAAAAATGGCTGGTAGGACAATGTAAAGGAATGCACATAAATCACACACCCTTTACATTGACAAGTACCCATAAATAATTTCAACATACATCCCTACAGTAAAGTAGTAACTGTGAAAACAAGACAGCTGTAAATAGCCTTTTCTCTATAACTAAGGCTATGTCAAACTTGCTCAAATAAAATACGCCAGGATTTATTTTGTGTATTTAGTATTCCAGGAAAAGAAGCACTGATCAGGTAAAGCCCGATAAATCAGAGGTGCTGGCAGAGGACAAGCTGAATTTGCATTTTTGGCAAGAGAGTATTGACATTAGTTCAAACTTCTTAAGCCATCTGGTTCATGGCTTTCCTGCCGGTTTCAGTGAGGGTTCCGCACCTGCAGCGCTCATGGGGCTGGTCCAGAGCGTGCTGTAAAGATGCAACCTGCGCGATCTGTAGAGCGCACACAAACGTGAGCAGAAAGGATGCCTGCTTTCCAAACCACGAGGCCGCCAGCCACAGCCTTGCTTTTTACTCAGCATAGGTAAGAGAGTCCAACCAGAATGGCACACGTTAAATTTGTGAGAATCGGGATCAGAAAGCATCCCACACTCATGATCCATCACTCAAATCCTGCCTGAGCACAGAGCCAGAGCCTCGTGGATGTCCTTTCCGCCTTAACTTTTCAAGCATGCTCCCAGTGTCAAAGAGTCATCCTTTTACTCTGAAGGACAACAGGAGACTTTGGGTAACTTTTACAGGAAAATGAGACCGACCTGCCGTTATGACTTTCACTGTAAATCACAAAGAAGTCAGGACTAAACTCAACAAGAACTGATCAAATTGTGGGTGCTTCGGCTGTTCATGAAAAACCAGCAGCCATGCCGCTAAAAGACATCCAGACAGACCACGTACGGATAGAGCATTACTGCCCGTGAGCAGCGCGCGCTGCTCGCCTGCAACCCTTCATTCGCTAAGCGCTGCAGAGAGGAGTTTCTTTTTCTTAGAAACTGCTAGCAGGTGTAAAGTGGGAACTATATACCTTGTGCATCCATTAAAACACAAAGGCTCTCCAATTTACTAGCCACCACAAATGAGCTCGTGGTAGGCTCAGGAGTGAAAGAGTGACAGCTTAACCGGTTCCACTTACTGTAATAAAAGGATTCCGGTACTTCCACACATCTGAATTTTTCAGGCCACCATGCAGTTAAGAGTTTTTATTCTGTTGTGAAACAATTGCTCCTATCAGTACAGATGACCTAACTTAAACAGTCGAAAGGCAGAATAACATACGTAGAACACAATCAATCTATGTACAGCGAGTGATCAACTAGTGCCGTGCAATTCCAAAGGGGCAGAAGAGAAATACAGAGAAAACTAATCTCTTCCAAGTCAATGGCAGACAAAACCACTGGAAATTTATCTGTCGATGGACTTGTTTAGAAATAAGTTTTAAAGTAAGATTTTAATTACTCCTTTTAGTTATGCTGTAATTTTTCCTATAGCTTTCAATACCAGAGCAGGCATTTTCTGCAATTTATAGAGCAAATAAATGCTCCTTACTATCTAAAATTAGTTAGGAAGCAAATAATACATCATAATGCAATGACCAAATGTTTCCTATATGGTTTCTCTCCCAGACCTGCCACAATTAGCTAGAGATAAAACTTCATTTAAAAAAAAAAAAAGAAGAAAAAAAAAAGAAAAAAGAAAAACCACATGAAGTTAGTGTCTCTCAAAACCACACGTACTCCTTGCATTCCCCGGTGTGTAACCATGTTCTTATCCATCTTATAAAGTCCAGTCAAACATTTTCAGACTAAAAATTTCCTCCTGTGAAACAGCAAGTCAAAGCTCTTCTCTGTACATAGACAGAGTCATCCATCATTTTCACAGAAATACAAGGAGATTAAAAACACCCTTTCTGTTGCCCCTTTCTCAAATGAGAGCACATCATCAAGGTAACCCAACACAATGTCATAAAAGAAAGCTTCGCTGCTACGAGCACAGACTAGTGCGCGGAGCTTTCCCTCCTCCCCTCCGTAGCAGTCTGCACTCCTGTTACAATGATAAATGACCCAATAAGACAGCACTTTTTTTAAAAATTATTATTCATTCTACCATTTCATTTTCTGCTTAAGTCTCTTATTTCTGGGCTTACTGGAAAAGCTATTTACAAAGGGGGCCGGGGGGGGGACGACACACATGAAGAAAACGTGAGCTCTAGAAGATACTTTTCTCTATTGCCGCACAAGCTACAAGTCTTTTTGACACACAGCTATTTTTAAAATGAGGGTTTAGTTGCAGATTATTACATTGTGCTGTTTATACAGCTAAGGCCAATTTCTTTCGGTTTGTCATTACCACAAATGCAGATTTACCCATTTTCTGTTCTCAGCACTGCCTCATGATTCCTGATCTCACTGATGAAGAGAATTAATCAGTAATCACCTCCAAGACTGAGTATTTTTCCAAATGCTTCAGGGAAGATTGATGGATCAACTTAAAGACAACTCAATCCAGCTTAATCCTCCTAAGTATTGATAACTGGTGAATAACATATCCTTGTTGCTTAGTTTACTTGGTTAACGCAATTCCACAAGCACCTGGCAATTGCACAGAAATTAAACACAATTTAGGTAAAAATTGAAGTTTTAAAAGACCCAGAAGACACTTAGATACTTTTCTAAGAGACCCGTTTTTTCCTTTGTTCTGTTCTGGCCCAATCTGTTGGCATACGCATGCCCCGCAGTGAAGCCACTTTGAAGAAGCCAACGTGATCCCACAGCATTGAGGTTCTCCTGCTGTAACTAATATGCTGTTACCAGCAGTTCCTCAGAGCTTTTTTCATTACCAAAAAGACAGTAATCCACAGAGAGAAAGCCAAGTTACTTATTTTTCTCCTACACAGAATTGATCTAAGTAGCTGGCATTTCAAAAGGTTATTCTGCTTCTGAACAGTACAAGCACTATATTGACAGTGTGGTCTGCTAGAAGGATCGCTTCCCGGATTTCTAGTTTACATTCCCAATTCCTTTACTTTCACATTCTACGCTTTCCTTCACTCCCATCGTATTTCATGAAACACTGACCATCTCCCCCACTGCAGCTGACAGCAGAAAGCCTTCTGGTATACTAATGCCATTTCAGGCAGGGGGGATAAGGAAGAAGCAGCAATCGCTCTTAGGACATCCATGGTGCCACGGAAGATGTACAATAATTAGCATCAAATGGACAGAAATGTACATTAAAACCTTCAAGTCTGTCTCTGCAGGTAACATAAAATTTTAGGAAAGCAATATAAGATGTGGTAGACTAGCCCTTGCTTCACAAATATTTTTCTTAGTCCAGTTGCCAGAAGATGTCATCGTTACCTCTGAGAATAATTAGTACATAAGACAGCTTGTTTCAACACCTCATGTGCCAAAGGCAAGACCTCTATGGATACAAACAGTTTTGCCAAGCTGCACTGCCAGGTTTTTGTGTGTGTTTTTTTGTTTTATTTTAAGGGTGCAAATAGCTAGAAGCAGGACACAACTATTACTATGTAATATGCAATAAAAAAAATAAATTCTGCAGCAATTTCAGCTTGGACTTGTTCCACACATTGAGCCCCTAAAACGTGAACAAAACCTGCTGCACCTCAGAAGTGAGAGGGAAATGATAACAGGAACTCAACTTGCTCTGCACCTGCTGACAGACAATACTAAGGGCTACCAAGTTCACCCTGCGCTGGAGAGCAAACGCATCCCTCCACTGGCCCAATTACCATAGTGTTGGGAAATAAGCAGCTCAGATGACAGAGATTCAGTTAAGTGCTTGACAAACAGCAGATTTCAGCATCCATCAGAAGCAGACAGTCATTTCAACTGTAGGAACAACAACAACAACAAAACCTAGGGCAGAGATTACTTTCAAGACTGATCGGCAGGGACGGAGCCTCTCGAATCCCTCTGCCCCAGCTATCAAGATGACAACAGCATTATATTCGCTGAAATACCTAGAGATGGGGATCGGTGACTTCCTCTCCAAAAAACTAAACACGCATGCTCTAACAATTGACCAGACAGAACAAAAATAAAAACTTACTGTTTCAAATAAGAACAACATTGTGAATATAAAATGTAAACTTAAATTAATTAGCACTAACCTTTCAGATATGTGACATCAAGTATTTAAGAGGAAAAATTAACAAGCATGCAAGACTGTCTTGTTCTCACCCCCCGATCTTTACCGTCTCGAATAACCGCTGTTAATCCTGAATCCCTAGCAGTCATAAGGCATACTTTACATTTAATACTGGTTAGTCAGCTCAGGGAAATAATTTGTGAACACAAAAGGAAAGCAGCTTGGTTTTGACATCCTGCTGTGAGTCTGCTGGACAAGAAGTTATAAAAAGCATCTTTATTTGGAAGCTGAGCAGGTCGGATTTGAAAGTTGGACACAAATGCAGGACTTCACGCAGTCCTTTTCAGGGTACAGCACTGATGCAGGCTAAAAGTTTAGTAACAGTGAGTTAAATCCCAGACAAATGGGAATGACTAATACTAGTGGAAAATATAAACAAATGCCTGACACTCCAGGGACAGGATAACTGACAAGTTAAAAAAACCAAACAACCAAAAATCATGAATTTTTAAATTTAAGTGCATTCCATCCTATCCAATTTGTCAGGTAAGTTTATGCTTCTATAGGTGTAGGAATTACATACTCAATCTGAACTGAAACAAGATTTCATGAATGATTTCAGTCACCTACGTTTGTAAGAAACTGCGAGCAGCGACACAGGGGAAGTTGGTGTTTTAAGTGCTCTCGGCTTGCCTGCACGGGGAAATGAGTGCACGATAAGCAGCTACATGAATTTGCAGCACAACAGCCACATCACACCCACGCGTCGCACAGAAACACTCGACAAACAAGAGACTGAAGTAGCTTAATTCACTTTCAGGGCAGAGTAAGGCTCCGTTACACAAAGGCACTTTCAGAGTACGCTAATTGTGTACTCCGTCCCTAGCCAGTGAATTGGAGGAGCTAGAAAGCTGTAAGGGCACAGCCTCGTTTATTGTACACTCACCTCTGCATTAGAAAACCGGCTCTGGACGGTCACAATGACCACCTGGCCTAAGCTCACATCCCAGCTTATAAAAGTTTCAACGTGTAATTTAAAACTTAAAACACACGAGGTTTAAATCTCATTCCTTGTCCTAGCTACATGGGACAAAATTCCTAGTCTGGTAGGTCATTCTATAAAGCACTTTCCTTCTCTTTTCTCAGGACTTCGAACCACATTTTGAACGGCAGCAAAGCTGAACTGACCTGTTCTCTTCTTCAGTGAGCAAAGAAGCCGTGTAAAGAGTATAGAGACGCCCACGTGAAGCCGGCGACATACAAATACAGCAGTCGTAGACGTGTTTATTTAGATGCAGCTTTGCTGAAGACAGAGCCATCTGCATCCCATTAATCTTGGTTTAATTTGATTCACAGATTGGATTGATTAACTGGTTTCTTACTTGCTTCATACACATTCTCTACAGACATTAGGTATCAATTAGTCTGGATATTTAATCGGCAGAGGTACGCCAATCAGCGGCAGAGTGATTATCAGAGGAGAAAATAATACTTTCATTGAAGTAATTGTATTCACATAGCACAAATCCTCAGAGACAGACCAGAGTCAGAAGTCCAATTACCAAAAGGTACCTGCAGGGAAGGCGAACCTGATCTGACAATTAAGTTAGCCAACAAGGATTTGTTGCCCAAAGAGTGTTGTGCACATGAGAAAAGGAAAAAGAGAGACCTAAGCCAGGAATGGTAGGAGAGTGCATAATTCTGCAACAGTTTTGTTCTAGACATACCTCTATCCCCATTTTGAACAGTTACACACTACCTTTCTTACAAGTACTTGTTTTGGTAATGTGACAGCACTGTTGTCTCAGGACTTACATGCTGTAGTACTGAGCTGCATTTCACAAATACATCTTTATTTAAACTTCAGATAAGCATATGTAAAGGTGTGACTTTTTCAATCCTTACAGTTTACAAAGCAGCTAAATTAAATCCCTGTGACCTGTACTTAAACCAATAGGGCAGCAGGTAAGAAAGCAGGAATCTGCACTTATCATTTTAAGGAGTTACGTAGTAGCTGATACTTTGCACCTATACTTGTCAACTGAAGATTAAAACAAAAGCCAAACAATTCAAGGGAAAAAAGAAACCGAAACAAAAAATTAAGACAAAACACCTGTTCAGGCACCATCAAACCCCACTGAATTCCCCAGAGATGTAAAGGTCACCCCACGGAAGATTTGTCAAGAACACATCCACTGAGCTCTGTAACAATGATTCTGCACATTTCTCTCATGCCTTCTATCAAATGATTGTCAAAGCTATTTATTATGCCTCACAACACCCCTGTGAGGTAGGTAAGTATCGTATACTGAGGTAGAAAGGAAGAAATTTGCTCAAGGCTGCATAGCAAACAAGAGGCAAAAATCAGGAACAGAACCCAAAAGGCCCAGCTCCTAGTTATCTTATTCCATTACTAGACAATTCTGTCTTCTTTATGGGATCACAAGTTACATTTTCCTAAGAAAAAACAAGAGAGTTCCGATGTATTGGAATGAAGGGAGGATAAGACAGGCTGTTACACAACACTCAGATCAAACTTACCTTACCAGTGCATCTGGTTTGCTTAGCTGGTTATTAGGAATACAATTTTCCATTAAGTCCTTATGTGTGCTTGGGCTCTTGCTAGCACATTTCTGTTTTTTCTCATTTTTAGTAGATGAGGAAGGGATGCTCCCATTAGTTGCACTGTGACTGCGAGGAGAGGAGTTCACAACTCCGCTGACATTTTTGTAATTTTTGGACGAGGCAGTGCATGAGTCCTCTTTTAAGAGGTTTTCTGTACTTCCTACAAGATCATTATTTAATCTTTTACTATTGATATGGTTTTCCATATATTCAATTTCTTGTATTTTAGAGTCTACAGGTTGCAAAATATTGTTATTTATTCCAAGGTTGTGTTTCTTAGCATCCTTGTCCTTTTCTTTCCCTTTTTCTCTATATTCTAGCTCTGGCAACGTTGCAGATAATTTTTTATTGGCTGGAATGCCTCCATTGTGCTGCATAAGTATTGAGGAATCCATATCAGATAATCCTTTGGCTGCTGCAATACCAAAAAAAAAAAAAAAAAAAAACAACTTAGTTCATTAAATCAATCAATACTGTGACATACAAAGAAAAATCATTAAGCACACATCAATCACTTCTGCAGAAAACAATCATTACTAGAGTCTATTTAGAAAAGAAAATCAGAAGTCACATGATATTTTAAGACTTTTTCCTCATTACAGGCAGGAAACAGTAACCAAGGGATTTAATAATAAATACTTGTGCTGCACAGAGCACTGACTGACTAGATTGATGCAACTGCTAATGAAGAACTAAACAGAGAGGACATAATTCATTTCTACTGTCATACTAACGACTGCCAAAAAAATTTTATTTCTGGCTCCTGTGTTTCTAAGTTCACTATACGTTCATTGAAACAACATGGACTAAAGAAGCTCTAACTTAGCAGGGCTTTTTTTTTTTTTTAATAGCAGATAATAGCAAACACATTAAGTAATAAGTATAACTTGCCTTCCTCTGCCTCCCTCTCTTGCCTTTGTAGCATCTGCTGTTCGGGGGGCAGAGCTTGCTGGAGAAGCTGCATGTAGAACTCATTCTCTTTCTGCACTTCTTTTTGTTTTCTTAAACGCATTTTGTAGCTGACGTAACTTTTAAAGCCAAAGCCCAAAGTCACAACAGGGTAGCCAATACTAAGAAAAAAAGTAACGTTATTATTCAAAATGTAACCAGAATAGCAAATTAATAAATTGTAAGAAATTATATGGCTGTGAATACATCTGGATTACAACTCTTCATAGAAAATTATATATAAAACGTTTTTTTGCTGTACTACAACAAAGCTACAGTTCAAAAAACGTAGGCACTTCTTTATCAAGATAAAATTACAGTTCATTACAGACGGCAATTAACTGTAACACAGATTAAAGGATTACGACAGTGCAATTGCATTACGCATAGCAAAGACAGCTTTTAGACAAGCACCAGACTAGGAATTATGTATCTTTTAAGGAGAAAACAGCCAAATACAGCAGAAGTTCCCAAGTTTTGTTCCAAAAGGGCCATGTAACATGTAAGACATTAAACTGGGAGATGCGTTAACAACATTCATCCAGAACCGTGGAAGGAGAAACTGATCCTTAGCCCCATCCTTTCACACTCAGAAACTGAAGAGCAGATCCCTTTTCCTCCATGCTTTAAAGCTGAGACAAAACAATGGTTCTCCAAAATACCGCCCCTGCAACAGGCCCTGCGACACCTTCCCACTGCAGCACAAGCCGGGAAACGAGAGCCGGAGAAGCCGCAGAACAGAGCGCGCTGGGGCTGCTGCATCCCTGGGGGCACCACGGCTGTGGGCCACGGTGCCGGCGCCCGCGGCGGGCACGGCGAGAAGGGACCCTGGAGGTAAAGCCTCGGTAGCCATCTGCCTCTGGTGAGGATGGCCACGATTCAGACAGCTTTTGTGGGCAACAAACGGCCTTTGGAAATTCCTCCTTTAGGAGACTGACCTTGAAGCTGCAAGCAAAAAACATCTAATCTCTAAACTTAGTTCTTCCACTTATCTTAGCGACAGATAAGATACGAAGAATTTCACTTCCAGCCAGACTCCGCTGTTCCATTTGTTGACAGGGATGACAGAAGCGTAGCAGAACTTTGGAATTATTTTTTTTGTATATCAGCTTCATCATGCGGAATTTAAGTATTCTTATTAGCTTGTGACAAACGCACCAATACAGAATGCTTACAAATCATGCTAGTGATTTATTAACAAGGATACTCAATCAATGAGCAAACATCCCTGTATAAAAATAAATATATCTTTGACAAGTATTTTAACAAAGCACAGTGAAGTTGCATTTTAAACACTGAAGGTGTCCTAGACCAGGGGAAAACTCAGATGCAGATGACTATTAACCATTAAAATCTCCTCATTCTTTGCTCAGTAATAGCACTGTGCAAATTGCATTTCTAAGGGAGCTGCCAGAATGCAAGGATCATTTGCATATGCATCTGACATTATCTTTGCCAAATGCTTCTTTTGTAATACTGTGTAAAGCCAGCTGTAGCTACAGTTCTAAAACTCTGATGACAAGCTGAAATGCTTGCACCCAATTCAGCAGCAAAGACCTTTCTTCACAGCTCCTAAAGTGCTTCTGTAACCTATTATAGAATTTAATTAGTGTTTAAGGGATTTATTGCACAATGTAGACAATATAAATTACAATGACAGATGTCTAATTTATTGGAGACTGTATCACAGGGAACTGGACCAAACGAGTCCAGGAAACACAGGACACTTTTTAAACGCAGCCTGATCAATACATACTACACTAAAAACTTGCGGAATAAAAGTGCATTTTTTCCAGATATGGATACTCTGCAGTTAAGTCTTTTGCCTGAGGTCACTCTTATCACTTCCAAAGAAGTAGTGTAATAAGTAGTGTTTGGTTTTTATTTTGTCACAATTTTCAACCTGAAGTTTATTCATTTCCCCTGGTGAATTATGAAATCAGACACTCATGAGAATCCTTCTCATTGGAGGGCAAAGAGGGGAGTGCTTTGTTACAGGAAAAAAAAAAAAAAATCTCGTGATCGGATACATAAATTATCAGCAAATTTTTTTTTTCTCCTACTTTTACCATCTATTCATTATGTAAATACAAAATTTGTAAATTGATGCCAAGAACTTTCAAGAAATGTCAGGAATATCCATGCTACAAATTCCCCACAGCTCACAAGCGCTGTATCTTCAGGAAGGTTGCACTTGGTTAATGTTTAGCGTACTTTTCTCGTGGAATATTTAAGGACAGATGTGCAAGGGGAGAACTGAACAGCCAAACCCTGAACCAAAATAAAAACCCCTGAATATTTATTTCTGTGGTGAAATAAAGGTTAATGGGAAAAGGAGGGAAAAAACCCACTTACCAGTGTGCTGCAAATGGACGACAAAGGTCTACATGGAAGTTTTTTAAATCTTTAAATCTAATGGCTGCTTCGATATAAACAAAAAGTATCCACAGTGATACTGTTGGTAAGCACACACCCCTCTCTAGTGAGAGAAAAGAGAGAAACACCTTAGTAATGTATTACAAACAGCAAATATTTTAAAGTTATTTTTAAAACATTCCAAAAGACAAGGGAACTTTTCAGACACATATAGGGAACCGTAAGAGGTTTTTTTCAGAATAAAGTATCTAGGATGTCTTTATTTTAAACCAACTCAAAACTTTTGTCCCCTTATCTTGCTTTATTACTTTTATAAGGCATCAGTGAAAAATAACAGATGCACAGCTAATGAAATAGCTTGGCACAAAACCCTATACAGAAAAGGAACACAAATGGAAGAAACTGCAGAAGATGAGGTAATGTAACAGCTTATGATCTTTGAGTCAGAAGTGGTAAGCTTGGACTACTTTTTCACTCCAAGTTAGGTATATCTGAGTAGCAGCAGCGAGCAAATCAGCTGAGAAAACAGGAGTGAGTAAGCACAGTACTGGTTACTCCATATACAGTAATGCAGACACCAGTCTGTGACTCAAAACGCTCCATCAGGGGCACATTTAGGACGCGGTATTGATTTCTCTTTCCAGCACTACTGGTGAGAATGTAAAATAGTAGCCAAGCAAACTAAGGTCTTCATCCTCTTGGCCAATGGGAAACGCCACTGTTGCATGCAATATAGCCACCGTAAATTTCCACAAATCAATTCCAGTTATATGCCACAAGCTTCATAAAACCAAACAAAGTTTTTTGATTACATACTGACATCAACATACTGTGTGCTTATTTGGAAACAGCTCTTAAATTCAAAACTAAAAAGAGCATTACTCCGAGGCCCTGATGTTATTTACTGTTGTCTCTAATTTGGTCTCTCTTGAGTAGCTGCACTCTGCGTAAATGAGAAACCTATAGCAGAAACTGTCAGCTTAAAGGGACTCAACATTTCAGCTAGGTAGACATACCACCTAAAAAGATTGTAACTTCCTAAAAAAAACCACAAAACCCAAAACCCAAACCAAGAAAAAAAAGAGCAAGTTCCCATCACCTTAGACAAGCATTTAAAAAAGAAGAATCCCTAAGGTTGCAATGATTAAGGTATTAAACAAGCTCAATAACTACAGTTAAAACTGTCCCATCAGGTTTTTCCTTTAGGGTTTCTAAACATCGACCCTGACAACAAATTCAGATAACACTTTAACATCTTAATACAACCCTAAAAATAACTCCAGATTTTTTACGTATTTTAAATTGGGCAGCAACTGGTTCACAGTGTATTCCATTAGCTCCCACATTGTCATCAGTATAAATGACTAACTTGTCAGAAAGATGACTGCTTTCACCAGTAAGCTGAGAAATGATCCATGCTATCCTGCAAATTCTTGTGATCTGATGGCAAGTCTAACATGAAATGCTAAAAAAGTCCCAAATCCCAAGGACTTGGGCAGGGAAAAGTTACTAAAAAAAAAACCCCAAAACCCACAACAACAACAACAAAATCAAGTTTCATTCCTGAATTTTTTTGATTGAGGGAAAGACATATACGTAACCCACGTCAAGTATTAGTGCTCATGCAAAATAAACCACCTCCCCCCAATCCAATGGCTGCCCCAAAACCCCAGGATTTATTAAAAAAATACAGACCCAAACAACCAAGGATTAAAAAAAAAAAAGGCGGGGGGGGGGGGGCAAGGAGAAGATTTCTCCACACATTTCAAACTGTTGGGGCAGCCACTGGTATTACCAGCCTTTTTGCTCCAAAACTGAATCCAGTTGACACAAAGATTTGACTAATAGGAATTTAAACTATTATAATAACCAAAATTAAGAACACACTAATAGAGTAGGAAGAACGTAACACTGTTTCACAACTTTTTGTATGTACTCTGTATTTGTTGAATTACTGCAGAAGTGTTTTGAAGTCAGGATATTTTTTTTTTTTTTTCTGCTCTGGAATTCCTGTTTATACACCTTCAGTTCCATTGGTCATGTGTTAATGATTACTACAAGATCCACCCAGACATGAATCAAGTGCAAACTGGCATACTAACAGAAGCAAAAGAACATTTTTCAACTATAACAAAAGTGCATTAAAACCAACGTGGTAACAAATAGAAGAGGGTTTCTGCATGCTAATAAAAGCTGGAAGATACATATTGAAAGCAGTAAGTTATAAATCAAAAATAGTGACCTACCTGTGTGCCAGACATACTGTACCCAAACATACGTGCTGGCAGCAAAAAACAGCCATTGTATTGGTATGAAGAGCAGACATATTATATTTGATGTGAATGCTACACAAACAAAAAATACTGAAAAGGCCTAAAAGAAAGGAGGGGTGGGGGAAAAGAAGGGTGTTTTGGTTTATTCCAGCAAATATTACCAGTTTATTTATTAATGGTGACACCACAATGATTTCAACATAGAAACACTAGTGCTGTTTATAATCAGGGCAAAGAAATGGAGCAGCCTAGCCAACAAAAGTAGAAACTTGGCCAATTAAGAGAGAACAAGCACAACTTGAGAATTTGTGCCCATCCACTCTTCCAACTAATCTCCAAACAGCTATATTTATTCGTTATTATTTTGTTTGAAGACTTTCATTTACACTCTTGATATAATATTATAATTACTATATTCTCCTTCTGGAAAACAACCAACCAACCAGCAGCATCATTTACTCTCCGAGAGAGTAGTAAATATCTAAACAGGCAAGGGCTTCTGTTTTATGTTAAAGAAAACCCTGTTATACAGGGATCTAAACCAATTCACTAATCTCAAGAATTCAAACAATATTTTCCTATGGCAAAAATCTGATGGCTATATATTTCACTTCCACTTGCCACAGATAAAACAGGTAGTCAGAGAGAAGAGACTTGAGCCCAGGTCACCTAGTCACTTGAAAATTCCTCCTCTCGTGAAAATGATCACCAGCACCATTAAGTTAGTTGTGTAACATGGGATATGCCCTGAAACGTTGCAGGATTTC